ATCAAGAATTGTAAGTGTATAAATAAATATAAGTTACAAGTTGCAACTTCTGGGCCATATTGTCTATCTATAGCTTTTGCAAGGTAAGAGTTAAATTAAAATTAGGTAAAATCAAACCAAAGTCTGGTATACAATAGAAAAAAGAAAGAATGAGAGGCATTATAGCCCAAGCCATTTTTTTCGTAGCCATTTTTCTCCCCATTAGCATTAATGCCACAATTCTATCAACCAGCTCAAGGTGGATCGTTAACCAGGACACCGGAGAACGAGTAAAACTCGCGTGCGTCAACTGGATGTCGCACCTTGAGCCGATGATAGCCGAAGGGCTCGAAAAGCAGCCCGTACACGAGATAGCCTGGCAGATAGCCGCAGACGGGTTCACGTGCGTGCGGTTCACGTGGCCCACGTTCATGTTCACCCGTCCCGATTATTACGACCTCACGGTCTCCCAATCCCTTGATAGGTACAACCTTAGCGACGCAAAAGCCGGCATTTTGAAAAACAACCCTTGGAGTTTGGGGCTTACAGTCCGAAACCTTCATAAGGTTGTGGTGAGAGTGCTTGGACAGCACGACCTAATGGTTATCCTCGACAACCATATAAGCCGACCCGAATGGTGTTGCAGTCTTGACGACAATAACGGGTTTTTCGGAGATCTGGATTTCGACCCGGACGAGTGGTTGAAGGGCCTGACTGAGGTGGCTTTGATTTACAAATATACATATGGGGTCAGTCTTTTCTAATTTAAAAATTGAATTTTTCTTTTCCTTAGTTTTTTTTTATTAAAAAAAAATATATATGTTAAAATGTTATTCATATTAATATAAACGGATGCTAATACATTGTTAAAATAAAGTTTCATAAAGATATTTTACATTACGAAATCCACGTACATCGCGCGGGATTCTCAACTAGTGAATGAACATACAAGTTATATTATTTTTTTCCAGTGTGGGCTATAGGCCCACATTGAACAATATAAGGATACGCCCCTGCATAAAATATATGGGTGAGACCATGATGTGATCTCGATAATTTTATTTTGCAGGTGGTGGGTATGAGCATGAGAAATGAGCTAAGAGGTAAAGATGAAAATGTGGAAGATTGGTATAAATACATGCAACAAGGAGCTATGACCATCCACCAAATCAGCCCTCAATTTCTTGTTATAATCTCAGGCCTAAATTTTGACACTAGTCTTAGTTTTCTAAAGGAAAAATCATTGCAACTAGATTTTAATAATAAAACTGTGTTTGAGGCCCATTGGTATGGCTTTACTGTCTCCACTGAGGTGATCCCCACTAAGTTGTGGACAACCCAAACTAACAAATTTTGTGCCAAGATGACTCAATCATCAAGGGACAATTTTCTCTTCTTCACAACAGGAAGTAACCCTTATCCTCTTTTTCTAAGTGAATTTGGTTGGGACCAAATGGGTCAAAATGAGGGTGAAAAAAGGTATATGACCTGCTTGCTAGCTGAGGTGGCAGAGAGAGACATTGATTGGGCATTATGGACATTTCAAGGCAGCTACATTTATAGACAAGGGAAAGTTAATCCAGATGAAACTTATGGAGTTATGAACTTCAACTGGGATGGTAATAGGAATCAGGATTTCTTGGACAGATTGCAAGTCATAAGACAGAAGAATCAAGGTAACTTTTATTACAATATATTTTATTTGCAAATTTAATTAGCCATGAAATATAATCCATCGATTCGTCGTAATTTTAGCCTACATTTGTAATTTTCTCGATTTTTTTTTTCTGGCATGCCACATCAGTTTATGATGCACGATTTTTTATTTTTTTTTCAGTGAGGGAGTCGACTCGTCGTATAATTGTAACAAAAATGTCTACTTCATGTTATGAAATATCATGCTTTTGTTTATACTAGTAAAGTGCACGTGCGATGCACGTGGTGTCGAATGATTTTCGCTAAGCAAAGTTTGTAAAATAACTTAATTTATTTATTAAACATATCATTATTATGAACTCTTAGAATTAACGTAATGATGTCCTAATATAGAAAGAGTGAAATAACGTTTTGCAACCTCCGACAAAAATATATAAAGAAACAAATCCAAAAAAAAAACACTAAGATTTCTTCCATTTTGGTTTTAACGTTCTCATAAGAAACATTCATACCCGTTGGAGTCCAATACATCAATATTATTGCAAAATTTCTCTTAATTCATTTGGCAAAACGCTTAAGACAAACTCGTGTCAAATATATATTGGATTTGGGTGCTCTAGCCAAAACGTGGGAATAGTTATAAGTTTACATCCATTTTTTTATTTTTTATTTTATTTTTATTATGAATTGTTCCAAATCTATGTAAGAAAAATATACAACAAGTTTATCTTATGTTATTTATACTTGATAAACTTGAATTTAAAATTTATTATATATAATAAACTTTTAGATCAATTTATTATTTTAAATTAGTACTTATGTATATATATATAATATTTTATATCGATATAAATAATTATATTATTTTTCTTTTATTTGCAATATATTGGTCAACTCAAACATCATTGAAAAGAAATGATGTGATATATTACATATGAAAAGGGTAACAAATAGAAGATATGAAGTATTTCAAAATAAAAAAAAAATTAATGATAGAAAGTAATAAAATTTTTAACTAAAAAATTTTAAGACTAACACACCCACTTTTAAAGATATATATATATATATAT